ACCGTAAAGGGACACATTCTGATTAGTTGAGCAATTAGTACGCCGCAGAGACGTTGGTGTGCAAAATAGTCGCGACGCTCGTCTCGACGAAGGGCTGGGAGCGTGGGGAGCCGGGGAGAGGTGACACGCACACGCGGGTCGGAGGTCCGGCCGCATTCCGGCGCCGCTCGAAAGTGAAACTGCCGGCCGGCCGGCGCTCAGCTGTAGAAAGTCACCGATTGCATCTGAGCATCGGTGTTGGCGGACGGGTAAAAATGTACAACACCACGCTCCCGGGAAATGAACCGCCCAAGGCGATGCAGCACCAACGAGATACTGGTGACCCCAACGCATGCCCGCGCCGGCGACCGCACGTCGCGATGTAAAGACCCGGGGTGATGCACGTAAAATATAGATAGATAAAGGATGTTCAGTACACAAGATCATCTTAACATTGTACAAATGCAATTTTAATGTATGTCATTGGGTCACTAAGTTACATTAGAACAATAGTTATCTGCTGCATGCTAACGAGTCTCACTGTGACGCAGCCGACGGCACGCGCTAACCTAATTCGAATATCAGCAAATTAAATAGTGTCAATTGTCCAACCACGTCCTCAACGCATCGAAGGATAATACCACCGAGTGGTTTTGTTTCATAGTTGTCCAGTCTTTTTCCATCCAGATTAAAAAATTGTAAATGCAGTTACGTGCGTCTGATCCGTTTAAAAGGTAATAATTTAGAGTAAGTAATAAAAGTTTTGCAAACGATAAAAGCATACACATCGGCGCTGGGAAACCTTAAATAAGCCGTAACAAGCAAAACAAATGGTTTACAGATACAAAACTGAACAGTTTGAAATTAAAAAATTGGTACCGGAATAACATTGGCACGAGATAACATAATGTCGCCTTAAAAGGAATCGAGAATAATTTTCTTCAAGGAATTAAATAAACTAAATAAAACCAGCGGTCAATTGATTTCCGTTAAACACTGGCCGAAAAAAAAATAATAAAAGACAGTAAAAAGTTTTCGGGTGTTATTAAGACCACCGTATTTTTTTATTTATTTGGATCTAACTTTATTGAGGATGTTAATATCAAACAAACAAAATTATCGAAATTATAAATGAATACTTGAATGCGTAATTCTCAAATGTACGATCAGCAACCTAAGCCAGACTTCCTTATCGTTTCATTTAATTAAAAATATATCGCAATGTTAATTTATCAGTAACACTTCTAGATAACTGTGTTCACGATAAAATTGCGTTAAAATAACGGTGATAACGGTTGTTCGAAACTTACATACCTTGAATCCTTACATTTGTATTTTACTTCATATGTATGTTTATGTGGATATTTAAATTTCTAGATAAGGTAGATAATTAAATTGTTACGCAATTGGATATTACTGGCATTCCAAAAACAAAGAGAATATTCAAAATATTAAGATCGGTAATAATAATTACTATTATAACTCTTGTAGAGTTAAACAATATTTTTTTTTGTTTAAATACATTTTTACGTCTATGTTACAGGTTAGTATTATTTCGAGTTGTTTAAACGGTAACTCAATCGCACAATTACAATCTTACGTGGACTAAGCGCGATAACCTTATCGTATATTCTCCACATATTATTATTTTAAAATACAACGGAAAGCGAAAACGATACAAAAGGAAGGTAATCTGGTCGTAATACATCGCACTACTGAGACCTTTGTCCGAGACTAGGGTTCACCGCAAACTAGAGAATCAACTCTCACCCGAACGAGGCTTTACTTAGAAACTGGCTCATTGTTTCGTCTACTATCCGATAGATTTAGAATCGATTATCCGATACTATCGAGTAACTTCATTTCTATTTCACTTTCGATGCGGCGCTACATCGCGATCGTTTCTAGTTTGGTTGAAAAAAGATCGCAGTTCGCATCTAATTTATGATAAAAAAATCAGAGCAATCTGATTCACTTTCGAAACAAAATCAAATAGAAGCCGTTAACAACGGGGCAATAAATACACGCACAAGCAAAGGTTATTCAATTTATTGTGACTGCACATTTATTTCGCGACTTCGTAACCAAAAAAAAATTAAGGCATAATTACCTAGATATTACCAAAGTAAATAATATATACATTTCTAGACATTAAAACAAACTAAACTTGACTAGAATTTATGTTTAACATAACAACAATAAAGTGTTCTCATCTTACTAATATTATAAATGCGAAAGTTTAGATGGATGGACGATTGTTTGTTAGAGTTTGTAGCCTAAACAACTCAACATTTATCAATAAAATTTGTCATAGATGTAGACGATACGCTGGAAGAACACATAGGCTACTTACTTTTCTTTCTTAATACCACGCGGACGGAGTCGCGGGTGAAAGAAGTTAATTAAATAATTAGTGTCTTTAATGGTAATCCATTATGCAAAATAAATTGTACAATTACATAATTTCTCATAAAATGTAGTAAAAAAGACCTATTGTAATATAATTACTTTATTATACCAAACCAAGAAACAAAACCCCACTCAAATTACCTTTATTTTCACATTAAAAACATAAATCATTGATTACTAATGATTACAAATTGACAATGACTAAAATGTGTGTCTTATTCCATTTTAGGTTATTTTTAATCTAATAGCTACCTTAAAGACAATTTAATTAAAGGAAATATGAAATAATAGTATTAAAGTTGCGAACAGATGCCAATAAAGAAAAAAATGCCCGATATAAAATTGTATGAAATTTTCTATCATATGGTCTGTAAATCTAGTTTATTCATGTTTTATTGGCCAACAGATTCATAAGCTCAAATCTCCAAGAGCTAAAGTCTATGCTTAATGGTGACTAGGCTCTAATGCCACACTAACAAAGTGCGGATTCGATTATTTACATGTTTAAGTAGACAGCATTTTATACTTTGAATATTCACAATTAAATCACAAATAAATATTTTTAATTTGGTTACAAATATATGGTGAAATAGATTTTTTTAGTTAAAATTTTTTAATGTATAGTACAATGTACTCTATGTCATTATTAACTGTTTTATTTATAAGAGTGGAAGTACAATTAAGCTGCGAAGCTCTGCAAATTGAAGTTAAGCTTTTAAAAATATTAACCATGTACTTAAACAATGAATAAATACAAAACAGTTATATCCTTAATTAAAAATGACTTCCAATAAAAAAATATTTATTTGTAATCTCAAACAACTCAGTTGTTATTCTCAATATAGTTAATTATTTTCCTTCTTTGTAATTCAGCATAATTAAATTTCCATTACAATTGTAGATTTTAGAATGACCTAACAATATCAAGGTAGAGACACTTAATTGTGACAAAACTTTTTTAATAACAATTAAAATAACATATTTTGCTTTTAAATATCGCTGGAACTTTATGCTTGTCCAGTCCTAGTACAGGCGAAAATATCTTTCTTATCTGTTATTATCAAGGTACTCGACACTCATCAGTCATGTTTATCTAGAGCACTAAGATAAATGTATTCTACCACATACTCGGTCATAGAGAATACACATTCCTACACAAATCCTGTTCTATGTACTTAATATCAGCTGTGTACACTATGGTACATATCTATGACCCATAATACTTGTTACTATCAGACTGAATGTGACTGTTATCAATGGCCATGATTTTAAACTAAACATATTTGAATTTCATTGAAAATTACAACTAAATATGTGTTACAAAGTAATTGTAAAGCGTTATAATCTGAAACGAACGTTATCAGTTATATTATGAAATGAACGTGTTACTTTTGAAAATAACGAGTAAAGTAGAGTTAAGGCAAAGTGGCTGACCTTGCGAACGGCGTCTGCTCGACGTGGTACACGTCTGTGATCGGCTCCGTGTGCATGATGCTTCGGAGCCGCTCCTCGGACAACTCCAACAGTCCATCACTCGCCGTCTTGAAGTCAGACTTACTCAAACCACTTAAAACACTCATTTTTAAACGTGTAGACGACTTATCGTGTCGAACCGAAAACCTTACTAATGTCACAATATAAACCACAGTAGTCCTTACTTATTACAAAAACACTTATATACGAAACTGAGGCATCAATTAGGCAATAAAAAACATTTTAAATGCCTCCGGTTTTTCTAAAGGTAACTGAGTGCTCTCCGTTGTCATTGCGAGAAGCGGTTACGGTTTCGAAGGCTTCAGCTCCACTTCAAATAAACACGTTTTAAACAAACATTTGTATCACTTCATCATTATTTGCAATGAAAAGTAATAAGTTGTTTATTTACACACGCGATTCGAAAAAAAACTAAAAATTGACAAGCGCGATTGGACAGCTGCGCATCGACGAGTCGACCGCACTTCGCCGTACACGTTTCTGCCACTCGAGCTCGCGGCGCACTCGCGCCAGCCGATACAATTCAAAATCTGAATCAGGCATGTTGTCTGTAGCGCTAAGTTCGAAAGTTGAATGGCAACACTGTACGTCATACCAGCAGTGTTTCACAATTTTTAGTAAAGATGGCGCAATATAAAACTTTCCTTCATTCATATATTTACATTTCGTAAAAAATGTGTTTGAATTCATCAATGATAAGCAAGATTTGTTGGGAAATGTTCCCTTAATTGTGTATTTTAATATTTGCAAAGAAAACTACAAATTATTCTTTGCACTTAAAACATGTTATTTGGTCTAACAAGGTAATAAGTAGCGTCATCTAGTGATAAATGTGGTTGTAAAACTTGTATTTTATTTTAATGTAGACATACATCAAGAGATGGCTCTTGCCCCAGTTTTAACATTAAAGTTTATGAAGCTGACTAGACGATTTTAAAACGAATTCAAAGCATTTTATTTGATTTAAATAAAAATAAATTTATTGATAAATAGCACAGATAAATAAATAACTTTTAAGAATACAGAACAGTTAAAAAGCTAACACTTTGGTATAAAAAGTTAAAAAAAAACTGTAACCTTCGCTTATAAGTATATCATGAAGGGTAAAGAAAAGTCAGTTTACATGTTAAACAAATTGTACTATACAAATCTTCACATTGAAATTCTAATTAAGCTAAAACTAAAGCTTATTAACGAAAAATTAACTAAAACACATTTCTTTCCCAGCGCTTATACAACATTTTCTTTAGTAAATCCATTCCTGGTTTTGTTATTTTCTTATAGAAATCTTCTTGCGACATTCTATTCATCCAGTCTGCGGTGCGAGGAAATCTGAAATATAAAAAGTGATTCATTATCAAGTTCAACTAAATTTAGAATATTTAGTAGAAAAAGAATTTTAGACACTAATCTCTAAATGGATAGGTGATTTTAAATAGACTTGCTTTATTCCAATTATTTAGTTCCAATTCCAAATTATTATAATAAAGCGTAAACACACATTTCTTTGTTGCCTAAGATGTCAGCAATTACAGCATATCTTTTTTAATAAAAAGCTCTACACTTACGTCACGCTTTAGGCTATATGTTTTGACGCCATTAAACTCAGGGGGTAAATATTTTGACCCTAATGTGGGAAAGAGACTATAAGTTGCTGCCAACATCAAGGAAGCAAGATTGCCATAGTAACGTAATTGGTATTTTGACATTTGCAATTGATAATTTGACACATATAAACGATATAATAAAATTCATAATTTTACGTGGATGAAGTCGCACGGGAAAAGCTAGTTTATAATATTAGTATGAAAGATTTCGCTGTCTTGTATACCTGTTAGAGTTTAACTCGTGTATGATATTGGTAGCGGCGACTGTGGTGCTGAGTGAGAGGTCTGCGAGGGTGAGGTGGTCTCCCACCATGTAGGGCTGCCGGAGGTACGCCTCCGTCACCGAGTAACATTCCTCTATACTCTGCAAATGTTTCTCTGTCGCACCTTTCATACCGTGCAGTAATGTCGGCAGCTATAAATACAAAATGCCTTGTTAACACTTGGACAATATAGTTTAACAGTACAACAGTAATGCTAGTTATGCCAGTTGTAACAGTCCAGTAATTATATCACTGGACTGGAATAAAGGAAGCTGGACATGAAATAAAAGTTTAATAGTAAGTATTATACATACTTGAGAATTCAAAGTTATTTTTTTCTATTATTTAATTTAACGTTTTTACTGCAATATTAAAAATTAATGTTTTTGTTGTTTTTAGTGACATTTACAGCGCGCACGCCTTTGACTGAACTACCGCACACCTTTGACTAAAATATCGCACGCCTTTGACTAAACTACTGCACGCCTTTGACTGAAGTACCGCACACCTTTGACTAAACTATTGCGCAACTGTTTAGTCTCGCTTTGATTCCTATGAGCTTATGGAGGTACACACATTACTCAATTTGAACACCTAACAGTTGAATTGACTGCGAAACTATCGACAAACGTGCAACATTTCTGCGGTAGTTTAGTTAAAGGCGTGCAGTAGTTAAGTCAAAGATGTGCGGTAGTTTAATCAAAGGTGTGCGGTAGTTTAGTCAAAGGTGTGCGGTAGTTTAGTCAAAGGTGTACGGCCGCTTAAAGCGCGAGTAATTAAACACTCACAGCAACGGATTTAACGGTGTTAAACATGACAGCGGCGTCAAAGTACATGCACTGGTGCAGTATGGCGCGCGCACGCTCCTCGCGGGGGTAGAGCCGCGCGCCGCGCTCGCCGCCGAGACCACACAAGTACTGCATTATTGCGTGGCTAAACAATACGCTTGTTAACATTTGCTTACAAAACGCACAAATGGTGGCCAATATTAATGAATTGATCACACTAATGTTGCTCATTTATAGTCATTATTTCATTTAAACAATAAAGCGTAAATAGTAACGTTTTTTATTTACGTAATGATTTTTACGGCAGGCAACCCTACGGAGATTTATTTAAATCAAATTAAAAATAATAATAAAAAAGGGTAGTTTTAGGCGCGAATTAATAAAAAATTGCGGTGTTTAATGACACTATCAATTTATTATATAAACTAAGTAAAACTCAAAATTTTTCTGTAAAATTTTCTTAAAATTTCTTATATAATGTTGACGTTATTTTAAGATCTTACCTCTCTGAAACTATGAAATCTCCATCTTGCAACACGGGTATCGTTCCCATTGGATTTATCTAATGAAAAATACGAAAAATGAATCACATATTGATAAAAAAATAAGAACAGAAAGAAAAGGGAACGTCCCCTCTCCTGGTAAATGTACCATAACGCAATGTCTATGGACAGCAGTCGTTTCGCTATTTTGACGAATTCCATTGGTCCCTTGCTGGTTTCTCACCTTATAAGATGAAAAATTATAGTAAAGATTCTACAAGTTTCCTTAGTAACCATAAACAGCAGGTAATGTTACCTTCTTAAATTGAGGTGTTTTATGTTCAAGCAGCAGGAGTTTAGGCTGCTTGTAGTGGAAGTCCAGGTCGAGGATGTGTCCCAGCATCCTGACAGCGCAGGAGGGCGGGCTGGCTTCCGCATGGTACAGCACCAGCCGAGGCAGCTGTGATGCTGGATGTAACCCATTGTGAATGAAATTAGCTTTTTATCTATAGTTATATAATAAAACAGTAAACCCACATTTTGTTAACTTATAAATGCGAAAGTTTAGATGGATGGATGGATGTTTGTTAGAGTTTGTATCCTAAATGATTGAACGATGAAATTTGGCATAGATGTAGTAGATAGTCTGGAAGAACACATAGGATACTTACTTTTTTCTTAATTCCACGCGGATGGAGTCGAGGGCGTAAGCTAGAATATTAACAATCACGGCATATTTGTGAATAATTTTAATTAAAGAACTTAGTTTAGCGCCACCTCGTGACACTGTTTTGAAATGATATAAAACATTCCACAAAATTGTAATACGCTCCATCTGTTGTTAGTGTTATAAAACAAAATACAAACACTTTAAAAATAATTATAATAAATACACACCCTTTGTCATTGTTTAAAATGTTGCTGGTCTTCTATATCTTTTGTATTGCAACAAACCTGAAAAGTTCGATAAACAGTATTTTATTATAAGTTTTTCTAAAATCGTAACGTCTAACTAATTTACACATTTGCATCGTAAAGTATTCGACCTTTGTACTCTGATGTGATGTGGTAAAGTGTCAAATATAATAGTTTAAATAGTGCTAGCTACTATTAAAAATAAATACACGAGAATTTGGCATAACCCAGTAAATTACTAGCTATCGTACCCGAATTTAAAAAAAAACTTCAATAGTAGCCTATTTCCTTCTTTACTATGATTAACTGTGCCAAATTTCAGAGATCCATTGAGCAGTTCTGGAGATTGTAGTAACAAACATCCATACATCCAGCCATTTAAACTTTCCTATATTAGTAAGGTATCATAAAAAATAATTACATAAACACCAAATATCAGTTAAAAATTGAAATAAATGCCAATCATAGCCACTTCGTTATTTTCCACAACTTACATCTATGACCTTCGAATAAGATGAATGTTGTTAAGACGACAAATAAATTCAAAAAGCATATTATATAACATTCAACACATCACTGTCACACAAACCCACTAACAAATATAAAAAGATAACCTTATCGCTGTAAGCATGTCTAATCACTAAACAAGTTTTGTACATAGGCAGTGATTTGACCTTGAACTCTGTGAATTCGTATTAAAAAAATTAAAAACATACACTTATTACAACTAAGTGAACAGAACCTTAAAATTGACTCATTGACACACTCACGCCTTTAATCTGTAGGGGTAGACAGATACCATGGAAACATTTAGCAAGCTACCACACATCTATTGCTTTTTCCACATTTGTTGCAAATTTTTTTTTAAATCAAACCATTTTTTTTATCTATGGTAAACTGGACTAAGGGCCGGTCCCACCAAATTGTAAATTGTCTGATGACAATTCAAGATGTAACATCTGTGATGGAAGTATCTGATTTTGTTCACTTATCTGACAGTGATATTATTTTTAAGCTATCTGAGCCTCTATCAGCCAGTGGTGGGACTGGCCCTAAGCCTTTTTACTGTAAACGCGACTTTTTTAACATACTTGTTTATTCAGTACTCTAGTTAAAGAAAAATTGACTGTTTTCAACACTTTTTACAATAAATTAAAACATATATAATGTTGAATTCTTTTAACGTTTTTAACAAAAAATTCTATTTTATATATTGGGAATAAATATATTTCAGAATAAATTAAAAGTAAAAAAATGTAGGCTTACTTCAATTTATTGTAAATAATGGACTACAATGTATCTATGTATCTGTCTCTGGAATCGGAAATATTTCATTGACCAAGTCTATAATAGCACGGACCTCTTCCTCGGATAATCTTTCTTCGCTTTCTTGAACAATCTAAAACATTAATTTTAATGTTTTTATTCCACTGAAAATAAGCTTTAAAAGCATCAATATTTAATTTAGTGGTAATAAATTATAAGGCAATATAATGCTTGGTAACTAGAATCTATTACAGCTTGACCAGAATTACAAAATCGCTCGCTATTTTGGGCAAAAATATTGAAGTAGTTTGTAAATATTTTTAATTGGCGTAACAGTGAAACCAATTAATGCACACTGAGGCCAGGACTTTTATATTCTTGGTTAGGCCATAATAGCTAATATGTGACACAAGCTTTCGCCCCCGACTCCATCCGAATTAAAAAAACAAAACCGAGTAGCCTATGTGTTCTTCCACACTACCCTCTATGTCTTTGCCAAATTTCATTGAAATCCGTTCAACCGTTTAGGCTGCAAACTCTAACAAACATACATCCATCCATCCATCCATCTAAACTTTCGTATTTATAATATAAGTGTGAAGTATAATTAATTGATATTTTATTAAGAAGTTTCTTATAGTAACATTTTGACAAGTGATTTATTGCGGTAATATGTGAATTGATTGGAATTTACTTGTGCCGGCTTCATTTTACAAATTGAACTCACCAACTGTATTTCTAATTCTGTTCTCGGTGGAGTGTTCACCATCATGAGTTTTTCCATCTTGGTTAATTTGAATTTTTTCATACCTTCTAAAAACTTCCGGATCATTTCCTCTGATTGACTTTTACATTCGGTATCTTGTAAGTAATGAACTGTCTAAAAAAAATTTTACACTAGTTGAAGCATTGATTGTAAAGAAACATTTTATTGATATTATAAATGCAAAAGTTTAGATGGATGTTTTTTAGAGTTTGTAGCCTAAACGGCTGAACAGATTTCGAAGTAATTTGGCATAGGTGTCGAGTATAGTCTGGAAGTACACATATCCTATGTGCTTTTGTTTTTAATTCCATGAAGATAGAGTTGCGGGCGTAAGTTAGTAAATTATATATTATAACTATATTCTATCATGTATAATTTTGAGTTATTGTCAAAAGTTATGTTATATTGTTTTTGAGGAATCTCTTTTGTGGTAATAATAATTATGATTTGTTTTCATTTAATTTTTTCATAGACAAGCCACTACTGTAGACCAAATTGACATAGAGGACTGATTGGTGGAGTGGTTCTGATGACTAAAGTTTGTTCCTCTTCCTGCTGCTATTAATTCAATGGATATATCCTTTTCCTGCCTTCTATCTAACAATTGGCAATGCACACAATGCATAATTATGTTCTAGCTTGTTTACCACCATCCATAAAAATGATAAAAAAAAAAGAATCCACATATACCTCATAAGTAACCGTAGCCAGTGAAGCTTCCCTCTTATGTTTTTTCTGAGTATTATCCTTTAATTGCTGTAGAATTTGCATCACTTCATAATTACAGAGAAATGCAGAGTGAGCATTTATTCTAAAATGTTAAGCCAATGTATTTTAATTTTTAAAGATGATGATCTACTTTTATAATAAATAACAGTTAATTGTAATTCTACAAATACTATTTTAAAGCACGTATAAACAATTGTTTACAAGATTTTTTATTTCCGATAATAATCGTATCACGCGTGAACTAATGGAACATTTTTCTAATTCATGCTTTGTTATGTTTATTACTGTCGGGTGAAAAGAAAACGAAGTTAAGCGAAATTTTATATATAAAGTTAAGCCAAGACTACGTCTGTCGCATCAACTTATTAGTAAATATGGTTCACAATAGCAAATCTTATGTCTTAATAATTAACACTTACGTTTCCATGGTACTATAATATGTCTGGATACAATATTAATATAAATAAAAAATACAGTTTCTCTTAATAAGGTTGTTTAGTTTGAACAATCATACGTATAAAGTATCGAAAATCAGTCGAATGAAGGCAAATAAGTACTTATTGTATGTCTAAATAAGATAGATTAGTTTGATAAATGACGCATATGAAGTATCGAATTCTATTTGTGTGCAGTCAAATGCCATACTTAATAGACAGGTATCGTAGTGACGAACAAAAACGCATAGCGAACAATTATGAACTATCGATATTCGGTTTAAATGATTATTCAACTCAACTAAAATTATTATTTTCTTATTTACTAATTTATAGGACAATTAATTCTAGTATTGATTATAGTGTAGAGAATTTAGCGATGACCGAAATAACAGCGAAATCCAATTCGATTACGTACGGCTGTAGTGGTAATAAACATTTATTTACTCTCATTAATTGTTATGGTCATTATTAATTTGAGAAAACAACGTTTTTTTTAAATTCATAACTTATAACTATAAATCTTTCGATTCCAACTTCTATTAGAATAAAAATCGAAAATCGATAAGGTTCATGACTGATTTTACACAACATCCCTACTAAATTTGAAATGAATTGTCAAACTAATCCAAATTATTTAGACAAACTATACCGGCAAAGAGTATGTTGGCTTTAATTTAACTGTCTGATTACAAACTTCAGCCGCTCTGTCCACCAGACTACGCTACTTTCCATGCAACTTTTTTTTTTGGATCATTGAGTATGCCCGTGCCACGTCTGCAGTACTCTTGGCCTTTTTTGGGAATTGGATGGATTTGCCTTATCTATATAAGTAGCAGTACAGAAACCTTATTTCGCAACATACTATTATCCTATTAATAATATCTGAAAAACATTGAACTGAACGCAATTAAAACAACTGTCTGTTTTTGTAATGTTTTATGGTTAAATCACAACTAGACCAAAAAAATATCGGGCTAAACAATTTACAAGAACCAGTCTCTTTACCAATTTACTTTACTTGCATTTTTTGCCACCACCACCTCCGGCTGGTCCCAAGCACGTTTCCATCAACAACCCACAAACTAGATATGGGTCACAGTCACCAGCAGGTCGTCGATCTTCAAAAAAGCCTTTCCCTTTAGCTTTAACACTTCTTTGAATTCTAATCGATGATTTCCTATTGGCAACGCCCCATGAAAATTGTTCGAATGGTGCTGTTTCAAATTTACCAGACAGTCGCATACGATTTCCTTGTTCATCGACACTGTACTGTTTCATATGCCTCATGTGAGATTTTTCTAGCTTTTTGACACATTGCTCGATAAATTTGTAACCACCATCTGAGCGCATAGTTTTCGTGCTAAAATTATGATGCATACCTACACCAGGATGTTTAGGGCCCATTGGTTTAGGATGAAAAGTAATGTCGACGCCATAATCTTCAGCAACTCGAGTCATCAAATATCGTGCCATCCACATGTCATCTGGTGCCTTAATGCCAATTGTAGTTCCAATCTGAAATTCCCAACAAGCATGCATGACTTCGGCGTTGGTACCTTCAAAATCGCAACCAGCGTACAGGCATGACCGCGTATGACATTCAATTATATCTCGTCCTGCGACATATTTCGCGCCGATTCCGCAGTAAGAGAACTCGTACTTTACTGCGGGAAAACCACCACCCTTAGGCCAACCCAGACCCCATCCATCAACATCCAACATGGTATATTCCTGCTCTAAACCAAACCAAGGTTCTTCCGCTCTGTGAAATTCACATAAATCGTTACAAAATTTTCTGTGATTTGAAGCATCTGCCTTTCCGTCGCCCCTGTATACGTCACACAAGACTAAAACATGTGGCTCCATTCGGAATGGATCTCTAAATACAGCTGCAGGCTTGAGGACCGTATCTGAATTATCCGTACTGGCTTGACCAGTTGAACTTCCGTCGAATGCCCAGTTTGGTGCAGCTTCTGCAGTATATGGAGTGCAACTTAAAATTCGATCCTTGTTTCTCAAGTGAATTCCAGAACCGTCGATCCATACATATGTAGCGAGAACCTTATTGCAAGGCATAGGAAGCCGAAGGTATCTGTCCATTATTTTTTTATTCAATATATGATTTATTGAACATTTTAGCATATTTCTTTTTGGTATAAAGCAAGCATTGGCAACTTTAATCGTAGATAAAATATTTTTTAAATAATTCATTTTGCAATTCGGTTTTCAGCAAATTTTTAAGAAATTACTTTTTATTATATTGAAACTAAAATTTTGTTAAATTCTCTAAAAATTTTGCGACTTTTACGGAGAAATTACAAGTTGTGACAATGTAACAAAATAATTTAAATGAAATGAATAAAGAATGTTTTGTTTTTCAGTAAAATGTTGGAAGTTTTTTTTAAGTTTAGAACTCTAGCAAGGCAGTATTTAAAAATAACTTATGCAAGAAGTACTTATTACTTCAAAATAGTTAACATGACAATTTATTTTGCTGTAAGCATGTTTCTGCAAGCATCTTAGAAACTCGGTATGGATCACAATCCCCAGCTGGTCTTCTATCTTCTAAAAAACCTTTGCCCTCTACAATTACCGATTTCTTTAATTTTATCGAAACACTCCTGTCCGCAATTCCCCATAGACATGAATCATATTGAGCTGTTTCAAATTTTCCTGTTAACCGTTTCTTGTTTTCTTCGCCATTCCCAAGACCATAATTTTTTATAAACTCTTTGTGTCTTTCACATAAAATTTTGCAAAAACTTTGAATTATAGCGAAACCATCTTTTTCTCGCATTTTATTTGTACTAAAATTATGATGACATCCTATTCCTGGATGGCTTTCTCCCATTGGTTTTGGGTGAAAACTAATTATTGATCCAAAGTACTCTGCTATTCTATTCAACAAATATCGACTAAGCCATAGGTCATCAGCTGCTTTGATACCTAATGTTGGACCAATCTGATATTCCCATGAACTCTTCATAACTTCAGCATTGGTGCCAGTGTAATTTATACCTGAGTAAATGCACGCTCTGGCATGGCATTCAACAATATCTCTACCTGCGACATGTTCTCCGTTCCCACAATACGAATATAAAGGATTTATAACTGCGAAGCCTCGGCCTTTCGGCCAACCTAACGGCCATAAGTCACTGTCGAAAATTGTGTACTCTTGCTCAATACCAAACCATGGTTCTAAATTATTTATTTCGCTAAGTATTTTGGCGCATTTCGCTCTGAAGTTTGTAGACGTCGGAGTACCATCAGGAAGATAAGTTTCACAAAGAACTATTATGTGTGGATTCTTGCGAAAAGGATCTTTGTATATCGCAGCTGGTATTAATATCGTATCGGAATCATCACCTTTGGCCAGTCCACATGAACTTCCGTCAAATGCCCATGTTGGCAGTGTATTTAGATTACAAGGTGCTTTATCTAGGATGCGATCTTTAGAACGTAAGTTGATACCACTGCCATCAATCCAAACGTAAGTCGCAAATACTTTATCGTTTGGCAGAGGCAAACGATTAAAGTGGTTATAATACGCGTTTATGCAAGTTTTCACATTTGATGAACCCGTAGTAAATTTTTCTTGGCTAAAACATCGAGTTAACTTATAATTTAATTTAATAGACATAGTACATGTTTTACTAGTAAACGTAGTTATGCATTTTAAAAACATTTTGTTTTCCACTCTTAATAATTTTATAGACCAAAATTACGACTTTAAACTTTAAAAAAAAAATAACAACTAGAATTGAAAGTCCAAACGTAGATCAAGGTGGTTCTGATTTTTTGTTTCAACACCTTTATTTGGAAAATGAAATTGCCAGTTTAATTTTAGCTTAATTGGTACGCTACATTGTTCATAACTGGCGGTCACTTCAGCAACTTTCCTGAAATTTCTATACTTAGCTAGACCACAAAGTAGGCTGCTTTGCCTAGTGGTTTCATAAGGAGAAATTCACCACCACCACAGGTGGTGGTTTGTCATGAGCCAGGCATCAAAGGGTGACAAAGACAGCATCAAAGCAAAAATCAATAGAAAAACTTAAACTTAGTGATTAGTAATGTGACTGACGAGAAGATGATAATAGCCTTGCGGGACCATAATAATTGCCAACTGCCTTGTGATCCTTGTAGGTCTATAATCTAATAAGGATGTCTAGCATGGAAATTGAAAATGGCGTGAAGGGAGCTAGTGAGCTGTTTTAATGTATAGTGCCACAAGACTATTGTGGCACCTTTTTGACATTGACAGGATAGCGCCTCTGAGCATTTAGGGTTACCAGCAAGGTAATATGTCCGCATTAAAGGGAAATTCTTCCCTTTTGAAAACGAAAACGCAAATTGTAAAAGAAGTACTTGTACCTTACAATGTAACTAGGAAATGCCCTAGACTTCGTTTGACGGTTAGAAGAATCTATAGTTAAAGAATCTTTGTAGCAAACTTTTAATAATGCACTCTCTTGAGGAAGTTAGGGAAGGGAGTCATAACATAATGGAAATAGTCTTACTTAGCGCTCATCTACAGAATAATAGTAATCCTAATTATTGCTGGTTATAATCAATGCACAATACAACTATGTGGTATGGTTTGAACTGTGCGTTTTAAAATTATCAGATTATTAGTTTTTGATACATTAATGAGTACACAGTAATTTCCTTAATACGTAAGTAAATATGAAATTTATGTCAAAAATGCCATACTTCCAGGTGCATAAAACACGTTACAGTAAAGGGTTGGACACTGCAATTTAAAATATGAAATAAAACAACTTTCAGCAAAATATTTTTAAATCAATTAGTGTATAACAATTATTTTTTTAAATTACAAATCTAAAAATTTGCGTGCCTTGACGGTTAGGGAATTTCTTGATTAACAAATGGTAACAAATTTTGATTGCAACATACACAATATGATTCACATTTTCAAATGTAATGACTGGACTCCCCTACTTCTGGTCAGCGATAAAAATATTTCCCACTTAAAAAAACTCTCATGCATTACTTTTAAACTCTTTCAACACTTTATTTCATGGAATAACATTAAAAAGCCACACAAAATGCGTAAAGTAATGACGAGAAGTGAACTGATAAGCTATGTCACTATTACCCTGACATTAAATGTCACTTCTCATTGCCGGGTGCCAAAAGAATCATGTACATTTATACCGATTTAAAATATGCAAATCAATATCTATAAAAGCATTATAATCGTATTACTAAAATACTTTTTAAGTGACTTCTGTAGATATACAAAAGTTATAAACCTCAATAAATCACAACTCGTTGTTTTTTAGTTATTTAATTTTGTCTGTGCCCACATATCTTCATAATCGTTGATCTTTGCAAATGAACCACAGACACAAATACAAGTTTTAAAAAGTTATATCTCCGCCATTTTCATTCTTTTCTCTATTCCTGCCGTCATATGGCGTATTAGTGTGTTCGTTTGTCGGCCATATTAAATGAAATCAATAAAATAAGACAAAATGTCGACTTATTAAGTGTGTAAAATTATCCAACAACATCCAGTTTTTGTGTGATTAAATCATCAAGAGGATCACAATGGAGAATTCCTACGGTGTGGGAATTGTTAATAGATACGCTCTTTTTTTGGACGATGAGACCGATCCTCTTGATGCGTTAAAAGCGCGAGAGCAAGCCAAGGAGCTTAAAAAGAAAACCAAAGAAGCCGAAAAAGAGAATAAAGGGAAACCAGAAATAAAGCCTAAGAGCGGCAGTGTGGTCGCTCGGAAGGGCATCAAGGAAACCCAAAATGTGAAGTCTCAAGAAAATAAGAACGGCGATCAACAAAAGAGCAAAGGCCCGGCACGGACTGCCGAACGTCCTGTCGAACGTCCTGTCGAACGTCCGCCTTCGAAACGTCGCGAAGAAAGACCGCAAAACGGTGCCGTCGAGGGCAAAGAAGTCGCACCGAGGCCTCCTCGACGCGAATTTGGTGAGCGCCGACCGTACATTGAGCGGCGTAACTTTAGTGACAACCCCGAGGGTGGCGAACGACGCGGACCGAGACCACCGCGTGAACCCCGCGAAGGCCAACGCGGTCCGAGGCCCGCCTACGACAGTCGAGGCAAACGCGAGTTCGATAGAAGGTCCGGTTCCGACAAGACCGGGGTGAAGCCGGTGGACAAGCGTGAAGGTGGAGGTCCTCACAACTGGGGCACCATTAAAGACGATTTGGACGAGTTGCAGAAGACGGGCTCCGAAGGTGAGACAGTGGAGGAGAAGGTGCCGGACGTAGCCGCCGCCGGCGATGGGCAACAGCCGGACGCCGAGCGTACGGTACCCGCCGAGGAGGAGCCGCGTGAGCTGACGCTGGACGAGTACAAGGCTTTGCGCAACGCCCAGCGCATGGCTCCGCAGTACAACTTACGCAAGGCGGGCGAGGGTGAGGACTTGAGTCAGTGGAAGAACCTCGTGATGTTGGAGAAGAAGAAGGAGGGCGGGGAAGACGACGAGAGCGACGAGGAATATGACATGGCCGACTATCCGCAGCGCGTGGGTCGCCAGAAGCGCGTGCTGGGCATCGAGTTCACGTTCAGCGACACGGCGAGGCGCGGTGGTACGGGCGGACGCGGGCGCGGGAGAGGGCGCGGGCGCGGGCGGGGCGTGCCGCGCGAGGAGCCGCCGCCGGAGGAGCGCCCGGCGCCGCGCTCACAGGTGGCTCCGCCCAAGGTTGACGACAGCAAGGATTTTCCCTCTCTCAGCTAGACTCGATGTGAGTCCTCCTTCACCCCTTTTGAAAGTACTATAGAAATACAAATTAATATTGTATGTACCGTTATTTTTGAAGTAAATATACAAAATATTTACACGAGTGTGTATTATATTACAAATTTTATTTGTTGGATGCCGAGTGTCATCAGCCAAAGCCGGGATTGAGTCCTGCTATTTTGAGTTACTTAATGTTGATAACTAAAAGTTGCTTGTGTTTTACTTGAGATGTAATGAAGGGGGGAGGATATTCTGACTTCACATTAATGCATATGAATCTATCATCACAGTAGCTTTTATCATTGTAGCCACAGCTATGAGTTAACTTTTGCCAGTTAATACTAGGGATGTTAATCTTACAGACTGTGACAAACTATAACATAACTCCGTCACAACTTAGTGTAGAACGTGATGAAATAACCCTTTGCATTTTATATCATGAGTTTGTGTTAAGGAATGCAGACTTTTCTGTAAATAGTTATATATGTTTTAAAAGATAAGGTCAAACAAGGTTGATTTTGTTGTTACACAAACTTAAAAAAAATAAAACGTTTTGTATGTGTGAGTTTGCTTAATTATTTTTGTATACTTGGAAGTGTTGAAATTCCATGTCCAACTTAACCTTCTATATTTCCTCCCCCTTGCATTTTCAAAGTAAGTTATGAGGTCATTTAGGCTGCGGAGTTCATAATGCTCCATAATTTACTAGTTTATTAAAGCTAAGTGTATTCAGGAATTGAAGTATTGACATTAAGTATTGAAAAAGTTTTTACATTACAATAATGTATGTTACAATAAATTGAACTAATTTAATGTTAGGAAGTCCTGTTCATGATAAACATTTAATTATAAAATTCAGCACTTGATATATTTTTTGAAGAGGTAATGCATACTGAGTTTCTTCAAGTAATTCACCATTGAAGATTTAATTTTTGAGAGTATAGATCCACAACTTTTCTTTTTTATAGAAAATATAAATGCTAAATTCTGAAAAGAAACATCTAGAATGTAACCTTACAATATTTAATGCGGACAAGAAATACTAATTTGTATAAGTTCTGAGGCTCAAAAAATGTTTATCATGAATGTGGGACATTAAGTTTCTCACGGCCACAATTAGAATGTCAAATACTTGTGTTATTTGAAGAGTTTCCATTGGTCGGTAGCTAGGTTCAGAGCTTGACAGACTTGTGGCGAACCACATTGTCAATGTAAATAAAACCACAGTTTGTTAAGTAATATTGTATATTGACATTTTATCACATCCACACAAAAACAACTTAAAATATACACAATAAAATATCCAAAGTAGGTAAATATTCAACATAATAGAGGTATTTACTTATAAAAAGAAACAAAGTCATACTTGATTTTTACACGAGCACAATAAATAATGAATATATACACATTGCAACCAAAATTTCCTTTTAACTAAGAACACCCTAGTTTGATAGAAGCAACTTTAAGAGCTCTGGTACACAAGTGAGGAACATTTTTACAAAGAAAATAAAATACATTATATCCATATTGAAAATTTAATGTTACTTAAATTTTAAAGTGTCCATCGCAGGCGATATTTCTGCTATTATGTTTATGCAAGCGAATATGATAGCTGACTAGGTACTATTTGTAAATTTGGAGATTATTTGTAGCTTCCGTTTCCAAGCAATAAAGATAATTTTGTAATACTTTGTAATTAATACTTATGTTTAGTTCTACCTTTATGTTTTGCCACAAACATGTTCCCTGAATCGAATATTGGAGTACAGCAAAACTATAAATTAGTGACATCAAAGCATAATATCTAAATAATGGGGCCCGAGCCCCGCATCACAGCCACATTATACATTACTTACAATAAAAGCATTATTAAAGTAAAAACCTCAATAACTACACAAGTGGCTAGTTACACTGATAAATGTCTACAACATATACAACTACACTATCTTTGTCTGTTGACTATGCTATCAATTGACTATTATTTACACAGTCCCTATGAGTACATACATTACTTGTAATCTTTTGGGTTATAGTTATAATGAATTGAACAGGGCGTTCAGGCAATGAGTTACAACTGGTACACTGTCAAAGTAAACTACAAGCGACAATAAGTTAACAAATAAATATCAAGTACTAAATTTTTACAATAGAATTGCATTAAAGCGGTGCAGTTCACTCGATGCCGAAGGTGTTGGTCTCTTCGACGGCGAGCAATAGTTTCTCGTGCAGCAGCTGCGGCGTGGGGTAGGGCGGCAGGTCGAGCCGGTTGAAGCAGGTGTGCGCGCGCGGCAGCGACTCCACGCGGCCCCACCGCTCTATGCAGAAGCGGCGCGGCCCAGTCGACCCGCGCAGTGCAGAGAAACCCTCGTACGGGATCGAAGACGTCCCAGTCACGAACTGTACAAGCCGCAATCTCTGCTCGTTGGTAAACCTGTGCAATAAAATTTACACTGAAATTAAATTTTGTTTCTCCGTATCTAGAAAATAAATTATTAAAAATCCAATAAAACAAAGGTTTATTAATTTAGTACAGGATGCAGTAACAAAAACTGCTAGCATATTTGGTAATGCGTGGGGTTGGTGAGGTCAAGGGTTACCGGTTTTATTGAACTATCGTTAGCTTGTAGGTTTTGAAAGTAAATGAATATTTAAAGTGCAGTAAGAAATGGGCATTCAATATTAGGCCTTATGCCTTAGGAATAAAGTTCAACTATAGACTTCGATACCTTGTAATCAGACATGAATAAGTTTGCATTGTATTTGCATAAAAGTCAATACTCTCACTGTCTCTCGTGAGTAGGATATTGCTTTGTTATAAAACTTTATTGTATTGATAATGGTTGATATGTTGACTGTTGTGATAATGTACTGCAAGTCTGATATATTGAGCTATAAAGCGGTTAATTACCCAGTTTGCAAACATAAAGGTTACTTTAAAACAATTTTTATATTGGGTCATTTATGAATCCAGCTTTGACTAACCTATCGCACAGCTGCTGTACGATTGTCGTTTGTTTTGCAGTCAATTCAACTGTTTAGTTGTACAACTAAAAATCGAGTAGTGTGCGCACCTCCATATAAACTCATAGGAATCTAAGTGCGAATAAACAGTTAT